CTCCTCTCCGCCTCCGCCGCGCGCACTCGGCGTCCCCGCTAGGCCCGCAGGCGCGGTCGCCATGACGGCGGCTGTGTTTTTCGGCTGCGCCTCCGTAGCCTTCGGCCCCGCGCTCGCCCTCTACACCATCACCATTTCCACGGAGCCGTTGCGCATCATCTTCCTCATCGTCGGGTGAGGCGGTCGCGCTGGGAAACCGGGACCCGGGGCTCCCCTCCCCCGCCGGGGGTACCGGCGACCCCGGGCGTCCCCACCTAACGGCTCTACCTTGTTGGGCTCTGAAGGGGAGAAGGGCTGCGACCCGTGGGAGCCGAGACCCCGCTCCCCTGGGACTCCTCGCCCGCCTCCGAGGGTCCGCAGGCAAAGACGAGAACCCCGCGACCGCAGAGGGCGGGCTCTGGGGAAGGCGCTCTCACTGTGGGTCCCCCAACCCTGATACTTGGTTTTCACTTAGACTCCGTGGGTGGGCTTATAGTGGGTCGTGAGGCCACTTAAATTGTATGCAAAAAAGTGTGGATACGTTCGAATATGTCTCTTATTTTTCTGGGGAATGGGGTCACAAGTGAACTTCAGCTTCTCGCAGTTTCTGTAATCCCAAAGGGATTAAGAGCCCGGCACCTGCGCGTCCGGGGCTTGAAAACATACCGATGCCCAACCCCTGGCCCAGGCCAACTGAACTGGAGTGTCTAGGGGGTGGGATTCAGGCTACGGATTTATTTTTATTTTTTTTAAAGCTCCCTAGATGATTAAGGTGTGCCGCCAAAGAGTGGAAACCTGTGCAAACAGAAGCACCTGTCAGTGCGTCTCCTTCAGGAGCTTGGTAAATACCGAACTCTGGCGGTGAATGCGGTCATAATCCCAGTTTTCCTCTGTCTGGCAGCACTTCCTGAGGCTTCCCACGTACCCCTCCACCCTTGAACCTCACTTGGCACCCGGAGAAGCAGCCAGGCTAGGCCAGTGCTCACCTTTCCTGAGTTTCTTCACCGTCTCACAACTGTATTGAAAATGCTGCATCCCATTATAATTTAAAAAGCGATAGCGATTTGGGCAAAAGGTTTATAAAGCTTGTTAAAAATCATTAAAAGCTTGTTAAAATAATGAGTATTTTTCAAAGCCCACAGGAGTGTGGTGAAAACAGGCCTGGAAGACTGATCTAGATCAGGGCACAGGTTTTCAAGTTCCAGATTTTATACCAACCACTCTATTAATAGAGATGTTGACATTTTTTTCTGGAAAAGATACTTATATTTGTACATCAGTGAGCAAAGCATTAATTCGGAAGAATAGCAAATAACGTTTCCAGCTAGACAGTCCTTGGCAGATAGTCTGCAGATGTACTTAACAAATAGCGGGGTTACTGAAAAAGAGTGATTGTTAGGAAAAATCCCAGATTGTTTTTGGATCGCATGTTCGTCTCTCCAGAGAAAATTCATCACTGATCCACTGATTAAAAACAATGGATTCATAGCATCACTTTACGAGGACTTAAAAAAAAAATTAATCCTGTACTTATGTTTACTTGTGTCCTTTCCCCCCCCTAATTTTCAGAGCTTTCTTCTGGTTGATATCTCTGCTGCTTTCCTCCCTTGTCTGGTTCGGGGCAAGAACCATTACTGACAACAAAGATGAACCAGTACAGAAATATCTACTGATATTTGGTGTGTTAATCTCAGTCCTTATCCAAGAAATGTTTCGGTTTGCATATTACAGACTTTTAAAGTAAGTTAAATATTTATTTATCTTTTTCCTAGTTAATTTGAATTATGATTTAGTAATTTGAAATACTAATGTAGTGTGATATTCGAAGGTCCATGCCTTCCTACATAGTTTGAAGCCAAGGATTAGAACATTTTCAACCTGAAAATAATGAGTATTTTAGCTCGTGGTTAGTTCTTCATTCACTCATTCAAGAAATAATGCCAGGCATTATTCTAGGTACTGGGGATACATGATTAAAAGACAGTTTCTGTCCTCATGGAGGTTATATTATAATGGAAAGAGATAGACAACAAATGAATGAATAAGAAAGTATGTTGTATATTAGAAGATAATATGTGCTATGAAGAAAAATAAGCTAGAGAAATAGTCATTGAAACAAGAAAAAACATTCCACCTTAGAATTTATATCAGCTTCCCTTTGCCACCAACTAAAATTCTTATAGAGATTATGCCTACCATTATTTTGATTGTATTAGGGAAAATAAGGGTTCATTTTGTGGTATTTCATGTGATTTCATATCTGTAATAGAAAAACATATTTGAAAAAAAGCCGTGGGCATGAAAAAACTTTAGGCCAGAAAGTAGGTCATCTAGGATTCATGAGGACCTCACATGAAACCACTGATTTCAAACACAGCTTGAACTTAGAACCACATTTTCTTTCAAGCAGTCATGACATTGGCTTTGATTATATAGTAAGACCTAGTAGAATAAATGTGCCCTTTCTCTTTTGGCAGATGAGATAGTTAAGCCACTCCATGAATTTCATGGATGTAACGGAGACAGAATCTCAACAATATCTCTTATAATAACTTCTGGTAATTTGTTCTTGCCTATATGCTAGGCTTTCAATATTGTTTACTTGTTGCCTTAAATAACAGATACTGAAATTTACTAATGAAGAAATTTAAATTACAAATTGAAAACCATGAAGCTATTGCTTACAAGCAAAAGTCATATTTTAGAAAAGGTTAAAGATGAAATTTCCATTAGTTCTTGGAAATATTAGAAAGCAACCAACAAATATCAAAGATAAAATTTAAGTTTCCACGGGAATACATTATCCTTAACAGATGGACATTAATCTGTGGTTTAATGTCTCTGGTATGCAGTAGTTACTACCATTCCCAAATTTAATTTTAACTGTAGGCTATTATTAAGATAATCAAAACTTCCCTCTCGCTGACCTCTGCCCCACTCAAGAACCATACAGTCAAATGACATCTCTGTCATGTGGTGGTGGTTTCTTTCATAGCTAAACGTTCCTCATTTCTTCACCCGGTCCTCAGATGACATGTCTGTGGCTTCCAAACCTTTTCTGGTCTGTTCTTTTATGTCAGTGGACATATCCCTTTTTGTCAGTGCCTGGAGTTTACCTGTGCTCAGGACCCAGCAGAACACCCTGCTATGATCGCAGTCGTGCAGAGGGCAGTGGCCCATCCCTCCCTTGACTATACATTTATTTTATGGGTCATGCTTTAATAACAGTGCCTCACCTTGAATGAATGAATTGTAACTTTCAGCCTAGCAAAGAGTTGCACTGTGAGAAATTGGCTTGTGGCCACAAGTGATAACCCTTTCTACCTTAATTTCTTTTAAAAAATTCAAGTTATCGTCCTGTACATTGCCTGAAACATATATTAGGCTTTTTTTGGCTTGGATTGAAACTTTTGTAGTTTAATTCAATTTTGTCTTATAATGCTGATACCATAAATAGTTGGTAATTTGAGAAAATCTTCCATTTATTTAAAAAAATTAATCATTGCTATAATTTCTTAAAAGGCATATTTTTAAAAATTTCTAAAATGGTGTATTTAATTTATATACATATTCCTTGGTACTCTCCCTCCCTTGCACACATGTACAAAAAAAAAAGAATCAGAACAAGTGAGAAAGATAAGGTGATTTATCAGTAGTTCTTCAAAGTTTATATTTTAAAAATTGGGCTTTTTCTTTTTTGTTTTTGGAAACTCTAATAAATGAAAACAAAGAATTTTCCACTTCAGTACAATGGTCATAATAGGAACACTGCCCCGCACGTCATCAGTGCATTCTGTCAGGAACATGGAAACTGATGATGGTTTGTACTTTCTCACTTCCTAATCTTAACGTGGAGAACTGTTAGGGCCATAGATAGAGCTTTCCTCCCACAGACTTGTAGTATAGAATGAGGAAGTTTATTAACTTTTGAGTTTACATATTTAGAATATTTGTGATAGCAGTACTTTGCTGTACCAAATAGCAAAACCCTTTTATTCATTACTGAGCAATTTATATAAAACAAAAATTCTCCAAAATTTATTGATTCTCTTATACCATTATATTCATTTATTGATGGGGAGTATTACTACTACCTATGTTTCTAAGCTTTAATTAGCCTTTAACAACACTCCTGTAACAGATAAGTTTATTATTTACGAAAATGGTACGTTTTAGTTGGTTACTGCTCCAGAGAAAGAGGTTGATAGTCATTGGCTCACGTCTTTGCTATCAAATGATCCTACCAAATGGAGAGCACTGAAATGCAAATTGCTTCTTTAGAGTCTAGAAAAACAAAAGACCTTTTTTTGTTCTGCTTTTTGCTGTTTGGTTGAACTCTGCATTGCCTTTAATTTAATGATATTTATATTTATAGTAAATATAATTTCAATATCCTTTGAGTCAGGGTCATTGTTGCAGAGTTTCTAGCCAACAAGGGTTAGTAACAGTGGCAATGGTGGAACCAACTACCAGCCACACATTGCATTCCCAAAACATTTGGGTGGGGGAGGGCGACAGGCACTCATGATAAGTTTGTGGATTGTCCACAACAGAAGCATAGATATGATCACTTTGAGGATCATTTCTTACTAAGCAGTTTTCTAATCTTTCACTCAGCTATTCACTTAGTTTCCTCTCCGAGGAAAGCATTTTATTCTCCTCTGATTATTTTTTCCCTGAAGCCTGTTTGGGGGGATATGGCACAAATATGTAAATATTTTGGAATCAGACAACCATATGATTAAATACCCATATAGGAGTTTAGACTATCAGTATTGTAGGATTTAAGAGAAAGGAGAGAGAATGATTACCAATCATTGGTAAAGGTGGTTTCTTTGAGAAATTGCAGCCTGAATTAGACTTTGAAGGTTGAATACAATTGAAATTCTATAGAGTGGAAGCTAGAAAGGATGGTGGCAGAATAAGTATAGCCCAGGTGGAAGATATAACAAAGTACCAACACAGTGGGGTTGAAGATATATTTCTTTGGGAAAAGGAAAAAATTCAGAGTGGTAGATACCATAGGATGGACACACACACACACACACACGGGTGACATTGGTTAATAGGATCATATAGGTTTTAAATGTACATTTCTATGATACAAGATTTGTATATTGTACTGTGTGCCCACCGCCCACAGTCAAATCATCTTCCGTCACCATATATTAAGCTCCTTTCACTCCCCCACCTCCCACCCCCTTCCCTCTGGCAACCACCACACTGCTGTTTGTGCCCATGAGTTTTAGTTTTATAATCCACATATGAATGAAATCATATGGTTCTTAGCTTTTTCTGACTTGACTTATTTCACTTAGCATAATATTCTCAAAGTCCATCCATGCTGTTGCAAATGGCAGTATTTCGTCTTTTCTTATGGCTCAGTAGTGTTCCATGTTATATATGCACTACATCTTCTTAATCCAGTCCTCTGTTGCAGGACACTTTGGTTGTCTCCATGTCCTGGCCACCATGAATAATGCTGCAATGAACATAGGGGTGCATATTTCTTTGCGAATACATGTTTTCGAGTTTTTCGGGTATATACCCAGGAGAGGGATTGCTGGGTAATATGGTAACTCAATTCTTAATTTTTTGAGGAACTGCCATACTGTTTTCCATAGTGGCTGTACCAGTCTACATTCCCACCAGCAGTGAATGAGGGTTTCTCTTTTTTCAGAACCTCTCCAATACTTGTTGTTACTTGTCTTGTTGATAACAGCCATTCTAACAGGTATGAGGTGGTATCTCATTGTACTTTTGATTTGCATTTCTCTAATTGCTAGCGAGGTTGAATATCTTTTCATATTTCTGTTGGCCATATTTATGTCTTCTTGGGAGAGGTATCTGTTCAGGTCCTCTGCCCATTTTTTAATTGGGTTATTTGGTGTTGAGTTTTATGAGTTCTTTATATATTTTGGATATTAAATCTTTGTTGGAGCTATTGTTTGCAAATATTATCTCCCATTCAGTCCTCTGCCTCTTTGTTTTGTTGTAGGTATGTTTTACTGTGCAGAAGTTTTTTAGTTTTATATAATCCCATTCATTTATTTTTGCCATTACTTCCCTCGCCTTTGGGGTCAAGTTCATAAAATGTTTTCTGTGAGCAAGGGCCATAAGTTTAGTACCTGTGTTTTGTTACATGTAATTTATTGTTTCAGATCTTATATTTAGGTCTTTGATCCATTTTGAATTAATTTTTTTACACGGGGACAGACTGTAATCTAGTTTCGTTCTTTTGCAGATGGCTTTCCAGTTTTCCCAGCACCATTTATTGAAGAGGCTTTCTTTTCTCCATTGTGTGTTTCTGGCTTCTTTGTGGAAAATTATGTGCCCATATACATGTGGTTTTATATCTGGGCTTTCAGCTCTGTTACATTGGTCTGTGTGTCTCTCTGCCAATGCCATGCTGTTTTGATTATCGTAGCTCTGTAGTATAATTTAAAGTCAGGTAGCATGATACCGCCGGCTTCATTCTTTTTTCTCAGAATTGCTTTGACTGTTCGGGGTCTTTTGTGGTTCTATACAAATCTCATGATTTTTTTGTTCTATTTCTTTAAAAAATGATATTGCCATTTCGATGGGAATTGCATTAAATCTGTATATTGCTTTGGGTAATATGGCCATTTTAACTATGTTGATTCTTCCAATCCATGAACACGGGATATTTTTTCATTTTGTTGTTTCTTTTTCAATCTCTTTTAATAATGCTTTGTAGTTGTCAGTATATAGATCTTTCACATCTTTTTTTTTGTTAAATTTACTCCTAGTTATTTTATTCTTTTGGTTGCAATTGCAAAAGGAATTGTTGTTTTGTGTATTTTTTTCCATTTCTTTTTCTGAAGTTTTGTTGTTAGTATATAGGAAGGCAGTGAATTTTTGTACATTGATTTTTATACACTGCAACTTTACTGTATTTGTTTATTGTTTCTAATAGTTTTTGGTGGAGTCTAGGGTTTTCTATGTACAGAATCATCTCATCTGCAACAAGTGACACTCTTACTTTTTCCTTCCCAATTTGGATGCCTTTTATTTCTTTCTCTTGCCTTAGTGCTCTGGCTAAGACTTCCAGTACTGTGTTGAATAAGAGTGGTAAGAGTAGGTATTCTCGTCTTGTTCCTGACTTTAGAGGAAAAACTTTCAGTTTTTTGCCATTGAGTTAAATAATTGGCTGTGAGTTTGTCATATATGGCTTTTATTATGTTGAGGTGCTTTCCTTCTATGCCTATTTTATTGAGTGTTTTAATCATAAATGGATGTTGTGTCTTATCAGATGCTTTTTCAGCATCTTTTGACAAGATCATATGATTTTTATCCTTTCTTTTGTTAATGTGGTGTATTACATTGGTTGATTTGCATATGTTGAACCATCCTTGTGTCCTTGGAATGAACCCCACTTGATCATGATGTATTATTTTTTTGATGTATTGTTGTATTTGATTTGCTAGTATTTTATTTAGGATTTCTGCATCTGTATTCATTAGAGATATTGGTCTGTAGTTTTCTTTTTTTGTGTTATACTTGCCAGGTTTTGGTATCAGGGTTATGTTGTCCTCATAATATGTATTAGCAAGTATTGCCTCTCCTTCAGTTTTTTGGAATAGTTTGAGAAGGATAGGTTTTAAATCTTTGAATGTTTGGTAGAATTCACTGGTGAAGCCATCTGGTCCTGTACTTTTATTTTTGGTGAGGTTTTTGATGGTGGTCTCAGTTTCCTCATTGCTGATTGGTCTATTTAGATTTTCCAGTTCTTCATGATTAATCTGGGAAGGTTATGTATTTCTGGGAACTTATTCATTATTCTAGGTTATTGAATTTGATGACATATAGTCTTTCATAGTATTTTAGTATGATCTTTTGTATGTCTGTGATGTCTGTGGTAACTTCTCCTCCATTTCTGATTTTGTTTATATGGATCTTTTCTCTTTTTTCCTTAGTCTAGCCAAGGGGATGCCAATTTTATTAATCTTTTCAAAGAACCAACTCTTTGTTGTATTAATTTTTTTGTATAGTCTTTTAGTTCTCTATTTCGTTCAATTCTGCTCTTAATTTTTATGATTTCCTTTCTTCTACTGACTTTGGGTTGCTTTTGTTCTTCTTTTTCTAGTTCTTTAAGATGTGGTGTTAGGTTGTTTACTTGCAATTTCTCGTTTCTTTAGATAGGCCTGTAATGATATAAACTTCCCTCTTATTATGCTTTTGCTGCATCCCAGAAGTTTTGATATATTATATTGTCATTCTCATTTGCCTCTATATATCTGTTGATCACATCTTTTATTTCTCCTTTGGCCCAGTCATTTTTTAGTGGCATGATGTTTAATCTCCATGTATTTGTGGGTTTCTTTACTTCCTTTTTGCAGTTGATTTCTAATTTCAAGGCATTGTGGTCACAGAATATGGTTGGTATGATTTCAATCTTCTTGAATTTGTTGAGGCTAGTTCTGTGACCCAGCATATGGTCTGTCCTTGAGAATGTTCCATGTGCACTAGAGAAGACTATAATCTGATGTTCTGGGATAAAAGACTGTAAATGTCAATTATGTGCATTTGGTCTAGTGTTTCATTTAAGGCCGATATTTCTTTATTGGTTTTCTGTTTGGATGATCTATTTAGAGCTGTCAGTGCAACATTAAGGTCCCCAACTGTGATTGTGTTTTGATCTGTTTCTCCTGTTAATTCTGCGAGTAGCTGCTTTATATATTATGGTGCTCACTAATTGGGTACATATATAATTAAGGAGTGTTATGTTTTCTTGATGTTGTGTCCCCTTTATGATTTTATAATGTCCATTTTTGTCTTGCATTACGTTCATTATCTTGAAATCTATTTTGTCAGATATAAGTATGGCTACACTTACTTTTCTGTGGATTTTATTTACTTGGAGAATCATTTTCCACCCTTTTGCTTTGAATCTACCCTTGTCTTTGCAGCTTAGATGTGTCTCTTGAAGGCAGCACGTGATTGGGTTTTGTTTTTTCGTCCAATCTACTATTCTTTGCCTCTTTATTGGTGAGTTCAGTCCATTTACATTTAGGGTAATTATTGATGTGTGAGGATTTCTTGTAGCCATTTTATCTTTTGTTTTCTGGTAGCTCTGTGCCTCCACTGATTCTTTTCCTTTGTGTTTCTGTCTGTTGTTTTTATTTGTTGGTATCCATACTTCTTTCCTCTGTTTCTTCTTTTTTAAGCTGTGTGTCTCAATTTGGGAATTTTTGTGCGTTGTTATCATTAGGTTTATGAAAAAGAAGTTGCATTTATACAGTAGTGTTTTTTTTTTTTCTTTTTAATACATCTAACCTCCATCCTCCTTTGCCTGTTCAGACCTTTACCCCCACCCCTTTTATGTGTTTGTTGTCACAAATTATCCCTGTTTATGCTGTAAGTTTCTTGGTGATTTTACTCATAGTGTTGTGGCCTTATGCTCTTTGTTTCAGGTGGAATAACCCCCTTGAGTGTTTCCTGCAGTGGAGGTTTTCTGGCGATAAATTCCCTCAGCCTCTGCGTGTCTGGGGATGTCTTTATTTCTCCTTCGTATTTAAAGGATAACTTTGCTGGATATATTATCCTTGGCTGGTAATTTCTCTCTTTCAGTTGTTTGAATATTTGATTCCACTCTCTCCAGACTTACAGAATTTCTGCTGAGAAGTCCGATGATAATCTGATGGGTTTCCCATGTAGGTCACTTCCTTCTTTTCCCTGGCTGCTTTGAGAATTTTTTCTTTTTCATTAATTTTTGACAGTTTTAATACAATGTGCCTTGGAGAGGGCCTCTTTGGATTGAGGTAACTAGTATTCTGTCTCCTTCTTGGATCTGAGGATCTAGCTCTTTCCATAGGTTTGGGAAGTTCTCATCCACTATTTGTTTGAATAGGCTCTCCATTCCCTTCTCTCTCTTCTTCTGCTACTGTGCCTATTATCCTTATATTGATTTTTATGATGGAGTAAGATAGTTCTCATAGAGCTCTTTCATTTTTTTTTTTTTTTTCTATGCTCAGATCCCTCTCTTCTCCCTGTATCATTTCTAGATTCCTATCTTTGATATCACTAATTCTTTCCTCCATCTGGTCAGCTCTATTTCCTATGCTCAGTAGTTCACTCCTAATCTCCTTAATTGAATGCTTCATTTCCAGGATTTCTGTTTGGTTCTTTTTTAAAGTTTCAATCTCTTTGGTAAAGTACTCATTTTGTTTTCTGAGTACATTAAGTTGCCTGTCTGTATTTTCTTGCATCTCGTTGAGTATTTTGAGAACTGCAATCTTGAATTCTCTGTCATTTATATCACATATTTCCATGTGTTTCATTTTGGTTTCTAGAGATTTTTCATTTCTTTCTGAGCTGCCTTGCTACCATTGTTATTCATGGTATTTGCTGGTCTTCTCTGTCTAGGCATCTATATATTATTGGCTCTTCTCTAGCAGCTTTCTCCAAAGAGGCCTTTCTACTATTTACCAGTAGGTGGCACTGAATCACAAGATTTTTACCTCTGTAAAATCCTACAGCTGACCACCACTGCAGTAAAGCCAAGCTGCTTGGGGGTGAGGTTTGTTTTGTCCTCTCAGCAACTCCAGACCTCTGCAGGGGTTCCCCTCACCACACATGCCCCAACTAGGGATCAGTCACAGAGGGAAACAGTGATTCTGCTGCAGTAGTTCTTGGTTTGCTAATAATGTGCTCCTCAACCTGATACCAAGGGCAGTGGGAGGTGAGTTTGGAGAGTCCGAGGGCTCTATGGCTCCATTTCTTTGTCTACAACACTGACCGCTCAACAATGGATAGCCGTGGCAGAACCCCCCACACTGTGTCCTTGCCCAAGTGCTGTGTCCTTGCCCAGATATCTTGGCTGGCTCAGCCAAAGCTCCCACTGCTCACTCTTGTAGGAGTGCTCACCAACACTCTCTGTTCCTCCTAGCTGGGAAGGAAGCACCTGCTACTGCTGACTTCTTCCCCTCTCTTGGCTGAGCCTTCCTCAAACTCTCCGCTGCAGGGCTGCATCCGTGGCCATCTGAGCTCTCCTCCCTTCTCACCTCCCCATTTGTTTCCATTTGCCTAGATGCTTCAATGCATGGGTCTCTCAGGCAAGCCTCTATATTGAGTAGAGAATCCTTTGTTGAGTTATAGTTGATCAGTTTGTTAAAGTTTCAGGGGGAGAGACCAATGTGATCTCCCACACCACCATTCCTGTGTCTGCCATAAGATATTGAACTAAGTATTTACTAATCTCAGAAAGTAGTCAGAAGTATTGCTTTTTTTCTGATGGCTTGTTTACTTATATTTTTCTCTTTTTATGTGAAAGCCAGATAAAAGGCAAAAGTGGGCTGGAAATTTTGGTTGATTTTAGGTAATTGAAAATTTGCTGGGTTTTTGTTTAAATGGATTTTAGATTTAAGTATAACGTTATCAGAAGCCTCAGTATGTATCTGGATTTTGAAGTATCTCATATGTTTTCCTTATGTACTACTTTTCCTTTAAAAAAAAATTATCTGTTTGGTTTTATCTTAGAAAAGCCAGTGAGGGTTTGAAGACTATAAACCCAGATGAACCAGCACCTTCTATGCTACTGCTGGCCTATGGTAAGTTAGAATTGCATGGTGTCACTAAAAAAAAATTGAAATTTTGCATAAAAGCCATTTTTATCTTTTGTATCTTTGTAGATCTAGTATTTTATTTCTGTCTGGTGTATTGGTGTATATTGCTTATTTTTCTAGCTTTTCAGGGCCCTTATGTAAAGGGAAGTGATTGCAGGTGACACTTACCTGTGTGTCCATTAAATATTAGTCAGGTTTGAAAGTTAGGTTTTTAACACTCTAGCTAACTAACAACTTCTAAGTGAGGTTACTGTTACCTTCTCCAGGTGGTTACCAGGACTTTGGCTGTACTAGGAGGACTCTTTATATTACTACGGTTAATACCTCTGCATATTTTTCTTTCAGAATTGTGTTGTACAGATTGGATCTGGGTCTATTAAGTTAAATCACCCAGTTTGGGGCAAGTCACCCTTAGTGCGGTTCCCAGTTCTAAGCCATCAAACTTAATTCTGCATACTCTGTTATCATAAACTAAAGCCAGAGCTTCAGCATCGTACCCTTCTCTATCTCACCTACTGCTTCTGTGCCTGTTGAGAGCTTTTCCATGTCTCTGGTACATTCCACTATTCATTTCCTTTCCTCTTCTCACTCGATTCATCATTTAGCCAAGCACCTGCCTTTTCTGAGCCAGCATTCCACTGTTTTTCCAATAGCATGTATACCCTTTCCCCTTCAACAAAATAATATTTCCTTGGAAATTTGATTTGAAGATAAATCATAGCATGAAGGAGTTTAATAGTGTTTTTCTTCCTCTTTAGTTTCTGGCCTGGGCTTTGGAATCATGAGTGGAGTATTTTCCTTTGTAAACACCCTGTCTGACTCCTTGGGGCCAGGCACAGTGGGCATTCATGGAGACTCTCCCCAGTTCTTCCTATATTCAGGTATGTGCCTGGTAGCTGTGAATATTTAGACTTCTGGTCTAAATGATCATTCCTGGCTTAGGAATTCAAATGAATAGAAATTTGTGTTATATTTTCTAAGGGCAATATACTGTTAGATACCACAAAGTAAAGGACCTATGAAAATAAAAAGAAATTTAGGGTAGCATTTAGCTTGTGTAAAGTTTATTTTTATTTTATTACTCTAACAATGTTGCTGTATATTGGATATATCACAAGTGAATTTTTATAGGCTCTGTGTTCTTTTTTATTAGTTTATACTTATCTTCAGTATAAGCCCTAATCCTTAATTAATTTGTTATCTTAGCCCCTTTTTGGGATAGGTAGCATAATTTAATCTCGAAATTTGAGAGAGAAAAAATGGTTCTTATTTAATGTGAAGTAGTCATATATCTAAAAATGTATACTTAAACATACATGTATCATGTAAAGAATAACAGCCCACCCTCCCCTTTCCTTAAGAACTAGACTGTTAGCAGGAACTTAGAGCTCCTCGTTCCTCATCATGCCCCCTCATGGGTAACCGCTGTCCTGATTTTGAATTATTCATTTCCTAGTTTAATCGGGTTTGAAAGTTAGGTTTCTCACATGTATACATGTTTGGTTTTGAAACTAAAACATGAAAGTTTTACCTTCATGTATGTATCTGAAAGAAAAATAATATTTAGTTTTTCTGCTTTTGAACATTTAAAAATAAATTATACTATAGTCTTTAAAAAGATAAAATGAAACGAAAGAATGGTAATAGATGAGTTGACCTTTTTAATCCAAAGATGCAATATAAAAAGACCAACTCATTTCAAAGTGCTTTTTTATCCACAAGATAAAAATTGTCATCATGATACAGTGATCAGGCATTTGAGAGTTGGTAATGGACATAATTAACATAAGATTTCTCCTAAATTTCACAAGAAGAACCTTTTTAAAGTACTTTTGAAAAACCACACTTTATGTTTTGGTTTTTACAAGTTATATCATTGAAATAAGTGACCCCACTCACATATTTTTAAAATTAAATCATTATGTCTACACGGAAGTAATTTCTATCCTCAAAGAACTTACCCATTAGTAGGGGGAATAAGACAAAAAAAAGTGAGTAAACATCTCAAAACATCTAATACCAGAAAAGATAAAGAGGTATGACCAAATTAAAATATAGTGCTGCAGAAGTTTAGAGACATTCTGCACTTTGTGGTGACCCCCAAACCCACTGGACAGTTGTTCACCATTTCAGTTCGGGCCTTGGCATCTCCTGTCTAGCTTACTATCGTCAACTCCCAGCTGGTTAGTCCTCCCTTAGCACACTTTCCGTGTGAATCCAGCATGTGTGCAGGTACCACACTAATCTTCCCTATACAGAAATGTGTAATCCTTTCCAAGGTCTACAGAATAAAGCCAAGGCCCTTTACCTCTGGCTACAAGTTAGAGGACAGGAAAGTGTATTAATGGGTCATACTTACTTAGTGGTGCTTCCAAAATAGCAAATTATCTTTTTAAAAAAACATTCCATAATTAGAGTATTTTTTTTAATGATTATAGTACTGTCAGTTTTTAGAACAAAAGTAATATTAATAGCTAAAGTCTGTTAGAGTCCAATACAAACGAACAAAACATAATCAGGAGGGAGCATTACTGCTACAGTTTCTATATTTTCTTAAATTGGCCTGTTTTACTGCTACATCGGCAACGTTGTTTTGGTTCTGAAAGTAGTGTTCTCCTCCTGGAACTTATTTTTCTGCCAGCTTCTTTCACTAGATGGTGCTAATTCACTTAGTGAGTGAGGAGGCTGCTTTCCTAGGACTAGCTTTCAGTGACTCTGTTGGAAGAAAGTAAAAGAAACACCTGCTAGCAATTTGAGGACTGTATTTGTAATTTCTATAAATTCACGAGAAACTGTAAAGGAAAGGAAATATTTTAATGTCTAAGTTAGGAAACCAGGCTGACCACTTGTGAATGCGTACCTATGGAGTGAAAGAACAGCTGCTACTTTATCGGGTGCAAGAGTTTCTTATTTATTATAACATTCTTCTTTGGAGCATAAATTTTGAATTATACATTTAAGAAATTAATTTTTATTGCATTTAAAAATAACCCCTAATTTGTATATATTTGCGTTTGTTACTTATAGTTGCTGTTGTTACCATTTATTTAGGCATGAGCTCATTTTTAATTTTTCTGTTAAATCTGTAAGTTTATATATTAGTTTAACATTCCATTATAAATGCCTGTGTAATCAAAATAATTAAGGAATATGGGGGTCATTAATTAGTATATCTAGTTAGTGTAAGATATATATTATATGATTCCCATATGTACATGGGTTTTCATGTTATAGGTAGGTATAGTTTATAACTAACAAATATATGTATAAGTTCTTTTTTATTTGTAATTGTGTAGTAGGCTAGTATTAACTTTTATTAGAATCATTACTGTTTCTTGGTAATGCTATAAAGGGGCAAAAGAATGGGAATTGGTGTCCTTAGTTCAGGTCTTGTCCTGGCTCATTAATTTAGTATTTTGAACAAAACCATTTGATCATTTAACCACTCATTTCACAAATAATCATTAAGCATTTTTAGTCAATAGGAGTTATACCAAGCTATGAAAATACAGCCCAGTAAATGTTTATACCTTCTACTTATAGTAGCTAATTATAATAAAGTGTAATGAACACTGTACTGAGGAATAACCATGAGCACACAGAACCCAAGCTCTAACCCCTGCTCAGATGGTACTGTACTTCTCCTTTGTGGTACTTACTGCAGTTGTATTAATTGGTCAACTGTGTATTTGTTTACATCGTTCCAACCAAATGCTAAGGACTGTCTGTCTTGTTCATTGCAATATCCCCCAGCACCTTGTGGAATATTTGGTTTTTAGATGGACCCATAAATATTTATTTTAAAAAATGAAAGCTAGGCACAGCTTATGGAGGAAGTACTATTTGAGTAGAGAATTAATGGATGAATACATTCATGCACCGGGGAATATGTTCTGAGAAATGTGTCGCTAGGCAGTTTTGTCCTTGTGCGAACATCACGGACTGTACTTACACAAACCTAGATGGTATAGCCTGCTACACACCTAGGCTATGTGGTATAGCCTATTGCTCTCAGGCGATAAGCCAGTATAGCATGTCACTGTACAAAACAAGATGAGATTAAATCTAAGCACAAGAGAAAATGATGCAATCAGGAGGTGCTGTAAACATTAGAGATATGAGGCTACTGCTGGCATAACACCACACAGAAAGATCACTAAGCCTTTCTCCAGGAGAAATCAATATGGTCAGACCACATATGGAGTATTGTGTGCATTGTGATCTAACAAGAATACTGAAGAACTAAAACTGGTGTAGAACATTGTCAGTATGGTGAAAGACCTAGAAGCTGTGTCCTATGGCGTATGATTGAAGGAAGGAGGAATATTGAGCTTGAAGAAAAATGAAAGTATGAGGAATGTGGGAGATTCCATTTTTGTCCCAATTTGTCATTTTTCTGTAATAGAATTATACATTCACATTCTTGCCTGGCCTCATGGTGGCCAGAATGCACTTCCCTGCCCCTGACTTTGAGCTCACTCATGTGACTTGAATTGGCTAATTAGTGGATGTGATGTAAGAGGCTTAAAAAGCACTTGTATGATTGGCCTACCCTCTTGGGCGCTGGTCATGTGCCATGAGAACATGCCCCGTGTAGTCACTGTTCACATAATCTGGACCCCAAAATGAACGTGTATAGAGCAGACGTGGGCCCAGCATGCAGTGAGGAGCCAAACCCAGCAGCCTGCAGCAGAGCTGCCCAGCTGAGTCCAGCCTCAGAGCACAGTCAACTTTAGACCAGTGAGTGTGAGAGTAAATCCTTGCTGTTGTAACCTAGTGAGGTTTTTTTTTCATTTATTCACTTTCTTTCACAACGTTTTAAAGTATAATTTCTACAATGTGGCAGTTTATTAACTGTTTATATTTTTATTTTATTTTTTACTTGAGTTTATTGGGGTAACATTGGTTCACAAAACCATTCAGGTTTCAAGTATACAACTCAACCAAACATCATCTGCACACTGCACAGTGTGCCCATCACCCAAAGCAAAGTCTCTTTCCGTCCCCATTTATCCCTACTTTGCCCACCTCCACCTACCTTCAACCCCCTTTCCCTCTGGCTATTACTTTGCAGAGCCTTGACACCCCAGACCCTTCTCTTACTTGGAAAAAGAAGCCAGAAGTCTGTTGTTAAACATCCTCTCTATTGCTGCTGCCACCCAGCAGCAGCCCTTAGCTCTCTCTGGCATGGTTAGAGATACTCCAAAGTCGTCAGAGAAAACCAGAAGATAGCAGTTTCTGTGCTGGCAGGATCCAGTAGTAGGATTAGTTTCTATCTGAGGCTGTTGACTTTGCAAGGACAGAAAAATAGAAATCAGGAATGAGAGAGAGAGAGAGAGAGAGAGAGACAAATGTGAAAATGAAGATATTTATGAATCTGTGTGCTAGAGTATTTGGAGTATATTGAGAAAAGACAAAAGAACCAAACAGTTAAATGTGGCCTCTTAAAGATAACACTGAAACATTTTGCTTAGAAATAGGTTAGATTGAAACATTTTGTACCAAGAGAATTTGATTTAAAAAATTATCAGAAGAGGAAGTCCATTATTGAACTAGACAGCTACAGTTTCACACATATAATACTTAATAGAATTGTTCATCTTCCTGATTAATGTTTCAAAGCATTACAAATTATGGAAGCTTCTTTCATTAATCTGGGTTATAAACTAATTTTGATAATCTTATGGTTAACTTAGAGAAGTTTTTTTCTACTTTTTAAAATACTAGAACAAAACAAATTTTAGGGTTAGAGTCATTGAAGAACTTTTAGAACTTTGTATTTAGGAACATGAAATGAGAAAGGTTTTGTAATTAAAAGATAGTACCCTATAGATACTATTAGCAAATCTTCATTTCTAGTTGGAGTTAATTCCATTTACTAGGAGCTTAGATATCCAGGTCTTGGTTTCTGTTGGACCTCTGACCAGTTGCAGAGAAAATAAACAATAAACCCCCAGTATTCTAAATAGCACATTGTAATAGTAAAGACTTATGATGACCATAAAGTCAGCCAGAAACTAGTGCTAGCTGAGTAAATAAGCAGTCAAGTAGAAATGCACAGTGTTCGAATAACTGTCCAAGAGGCCCGTTTAGATATTGTGTTAATAAGACAGCACACTGAAAAGGTGGGGCAGAGTCCAGGACACTGTGTTTTGTGCACCATGATACCCCCGGTGCCTGGCACAGCATAGACATAGACTTGACTTTGGAGACAGGGTCAATCCATCAAAGGTATTTCTTAGCAGGAAAGGGCCTTGCAAACAGGAATGTGGACTTAGAATTTGGAAGAAAGATCAGGGCTAATGCTATCTTGAGGATCCTTGTCTGAAACTCACAGAGCAATGCTCCTTTGGATGAGAGCGTTTTCCAAGTAGCTGAACTCCAGGATTTGGGAACATGATTGGCTGGTTTCAGTGTTCATGGTAACACATGGACAGAAGGGCAAACATAAGGTGACAAATGAGTGACACACTTATGGTGTCGTTGCTCTCTCTTTCCACTTGACATCTAGGTTTTAGAAAAACCTTAGAGTGTGAACATTTGTGCCTGTGTAGATTGTAGTTTCTACCCTATCTTTTCTGACATAAACTTAACTCCTGAGTATCTTCAGTGGTCTCAGCTCTACACCATCATATCACCACACATCTATCTTCAGGGCAGCTTCCCTTTCCAGGATCATCACTGGGATTAAAATACATCATTTTAGTTTAGTCTACCATTGTCCCCAAGTTAAAAAAAAATCCCTCTTCTACTTTAAAGTATTTACCATCATTTATGGAAAGGATGGCATGCTGTCACTAGATGCAACAACCTGTTTTTCTCCAACCACAGCTGTTATGTCTTTTTAATATGATTTTGTGAGGTTTTGACTTTGTATAAGTGAAATAATAGTCATTTTTCCACAATATGTATTTTTCCTCCATTCAGCATTATATTTTTGAGATTTATATTGTAGATCATACAGTATTCCTTGTGTGAGTACACTACACTCTTTGTATTCTGGTGATGATGGACATTCTCTGTTATTACAAATAGTGCTGATATAAATAGTCATATATATGTATCTCCTTGTGCAAATATGGGGGTTTCTCTAGAGCAGTTGTTCTCAAACTTGACTGCATCAGAATCAACTGGAGGGCTGTTTAAATAGATTGCTGGGCTCATTGTGTCTGATTCTGGAAGTTTGGGGTGGGTCCCAAGAATTTGCATTTCTAACAAGTTCTAACAAGTGATTTATTGATTCAAGAACTAACTGCTTTAGAGCAGAGATCTAGCTGCAGAATTGCTGGGGTGAAATTGGGTATGCAAATTTTTAACTCTAATAGGTAATGCTAGGTTGTTTACCTACCAGCAGTGTGAAAGAAAAGCATCAGACTTGAGTTTTTGCCAGACTGGCAGGTGTTAATGGTATCTTATTACATGGCCAAAAAGGGAAATCTGTATGCCTTCTTTTTCACGTTAAAACTTTCAGAATATGTGGAACTTCACCATTTTAAATAAAGAATGTTATCGGGGACACACACACACATATGCAGTATTCCACAGGAAAAGCTGTGTGTGCTAATCAGATTCAATTTCAGTTGCTTAAGAAGAATCTTAGATAATTATTGCAATATTTAATATTTTTATTCTTCCATTTGGCCTTTACAAAAATCCAAGGAGAAATTTCACTTTAGTGAAAAGACTTGTTTAAACTGAAGATATTTCTTTTAATTGAGAAAAGCCTGTCTTAATTAGTGCAGAAGACTAATTTAGAAAAAGCTGATTAAATACCACAATAGTTGTGTTGCATTCCTCAGAGAACCTTCTTGAAAGCCAGATTCCAGTTGACCGTTTACCAGGTTCACATTCTAGAGAAGCTGTGCAGAGCTGATCCCTGGCTCAGAAACATTGCTTTCCAAGCTACCATTTGAGCAGGGG